ACCCCCTCCTCGTCTCCCCTGCCTGTCTTTCCTAAAGAGCCTGTATCCCCGCGTGTCTCTAATTCCTCTTGTTTATTCCCCATGCTTTTGAAGTATTTTTTTTAAACAGGAGGGGAAATTTAAGCATGTAACTGTATATCCAGATTATTTCAGAGCAGGGTAGCAGGAGGGTATAGCAGGCTGGTTCCTCTGTATGAGTCTTATTCTAAGTGGATATTTGAAGTATTTTTTTTAAACAGGAGGGGAAATTTAAGCATGTAACTGTATATCCAGATTATTTCAGAGCAGGGTAGCAGGAGGGTATAGCAGGCTGGTTCCTCTGTATGAGTCTTATTCTAAGTGGATAGAAGTGTCTTCTTTTGTTCAGAACCCAGTGTACACGCACAGCAGTAATTATTGTGCAGTAGTTGTCATGTGAACATTCTTGAAACTTATTACATGATTTTTTTTTTTAGGATATACTTAATCATGGACTTATTCTGAAATACCCTGAAATGTACTTTAATCATTTACATAGGCTAAACAGGCTGGCCAGCAAAAGGTCTTGCAAATTCTAATCAAGAAATCAAGCTCTAAAGTTCTACTATGTCTCACTTAAAGCAAAGGATACTAAACAGATGCAGTATATTCATATTCAGCTTTCATGAAATCCATTGCAAATACAGCAACTTTATAGAGAGAGTGCTGTGTAGATTCATTTACTGATTTGTGTTGAAATAGTTTGTAGCTGAAAAAAAACTTAATATTTACAGTAAATGTATTTTTTCTTTTTTTAGGAATTGTTTGAGCTTTCGGTAAGTATGCTTTTTCAATTAAACATGTACGTCTTTTTTCAGAATGTATAGGGATGTAACCCTTTTCCTTCCTTCCTGTATGACACAGACCAGTTACGAGATTGGAATCGTGCGCCAGTTTCCATTTTCTTCAGTTTTGCAACGTATGTGTGTAATAGCAAGAGTTCTAGGGGAGAAAAGAATGGATGCTTACATGAAAGGTGCCCCTGAAGTGATTGCCAGCTTGTGTAAGCAGGAAACAGGTAAAGGAACAAACTATTTTTATTTCTTGTGTAGCTCAGCTGTAACATGAATAATTTTAATAACTCTAAACTTGACCTTCTTAAAGTTCCTGTTGACTTTGAGTGTGTCCTGGAAGAATACACTAAGCAGGGCTTCCGAGTTATTGCTCTTGCTCACAGAAAATTGGAGTCTAAGCTTACATGGCACAAAGTCCAGACTATTAATAGGTAAGAGTGACTTCACTTTTTTTAATAAGTAACAGGCTTTAAAAGCTGCATGCTTTGAATTAATTATGTATGTTTATTTTTGTTTAAATCAGTTACTACTCTTCTTTAGCTTTCTTCTGTCTTGAAATATGTAGTTCTGTGCATTCTTTATTTGTACCCTGGACAATACATAGAAATTTAAGACAAGGAAGTTTTTCTGCAATAATGTGAATTCTGAGGAACATCTTTAAGCTTGAAATGAACTGTAATAATAATTCTTCATGAGGTTTAATTTATGCTAATGTGGCAGAAAATCTCATCCAATTTCTCTGTTACTTGAACATACTTATATCATTTGTATCTATTGAAGATAATGGCATGTAGTGGAAACCCTCCTGTGCATGTCTGATCTAGTTTCTTCATCCACTATAGGCAGCATGTCCATTTCCTCATTGCAAAGCTTGTCAGAAAGGTTTGGAAGGTAGAAAGGTTTCTTCCTTCAAAGGGTAGTATTTCCTGTTAATTACTTTCCAGCTGGTCCTAGTTTTGTGGGTAATGCTATCTTTTCAATGGTGTTTGAAAGTGTAGCTTTGCTATGAAAATGCCAACTTTGACTCTGTTCTTTTGTATCAGCTCTGTGCACAAGATGAACTTTTTGCAAAACAGTACAAAGCAGAGAAAGGGGTTTTCCAATTTCAGGTGTGAAAATCTACAGCAGCAGTAGAATACCCAAGACCTGTAAATACACTGACTTTCATGTAAAACAAAGCTAATTAGTTGCTTTACTTAATTAGCTAATGTCTATTAATCTTACTAGCCTTGGTAACATAATTTGGTAGCTTTGTATGTTAAGGTTCAGCTAATTTGGAAATTGGAGATTGCATTCTAAAATCTTAAAATTTGGCTGTGAATGCAGTTAGTTTCAGAGCATTTTTTCTAGCAATAACCTTTCTTTTTGAGAATAGTTTCTTCCACAAGAATTCTTTCTAAAAGAAATTACAAACAACTGCACTGGAGAGGAAACATTTTCTCATACAGGTTTTAAACTAAAACAAGGGAAATAAGTATAAATGAATGTTAATGATGATATCTCTCAGGTCACTTTTTAAAAGCAAATTCTTCACACTTTTAATGGCTAAAAATAAACATTGCCTTTTACTTTGATAAACAGAAAATCAGGCTCTTTAAGCTACATCTAATAATCGTTCTTTTCCTTGCCTCCTTTTCTACAGAGATGCTATTGAGAGCAACATGGATTTTATGGGGTTAATTATAATGCAAAATAAACTAAAGCAAGAAACCCCTGCTGTACTTGAAGATTTGCATAAAGCCAACATTCGCACTGTCATGGTTACAGGTTAGCATGTAAACATTCATACTCAAAAAGATAAAAATCCATCTCTCTTTGGTGGTCTTCTAATTCTAGTGTATGAAGTAAATTTTTAGCGTCAATAGGCTGAGATTACACTGTATGTATAGCAAGAGGAAAGTTTAGAAACTATTGTGAGAATATTCAGACACCAATCTGTTTCTTTTTGGGTAAAAGTTGCTTTGGTAAGTCAGAGATCAGAAACCAGCATGGGGGTTAATTCTACTTCATAGCTTCCTCTCCCTAGCTCCATGCACAAGTACTTTAAACTGAATTGAAAAGTGAAAAACCTTGGAGGTTTTCCAAATCAGACTAAGTAAAAGTCCTGGTCTAATCTTATGACTGACCCTGCTTTGAGAAGGAGGTTGGACTAGATGACCTCCTGAGGGTCCCTACCATTTTTAATTATATTATAAGTCACTTTGTAATGGATTTGTTTTGTAAGAATGATTTCTTACGTTCCCCTAAGTGGGCTAGGTATCTGTGCTCAGTGTTTTGCACGCTGTGTGTGTGTGGTTTTTAAATCACAGGTATTGCAACTTTGGAATAGTGTTTTGATAGGCTAGCAATACAACTGGGTGTTTGTCTTGCATGATCTGTGACCATGTTTAAAAAGCAGTACTTTAAATGGCCCCATGTTTTCTGCCTGATTTTAGATTTGGTCAATAAGAGATCTTTGTGGCTGAAAGAAGCATACAAAGTTTCTAGTGATGCTAATGCAGGGGAGGGGTTTAACGGGCTAGACTTTGAATTTTGTCTGTAGACTTGGTTTGCCCTAAGGTTGTTGCTGGTACGTTAGGCAGTTCTCCTAGTTTAAAACTGCCCTTGTTAGCTTTTCTCTTACGTGGAGTATCAGTGTGTGCTATTGATCCTCTTCTAACTCAAACCTTTTTACATGCAATTGTTTAACAGGGGATAACATGTTAACTGCTATCTCTGTGGCCAGAGACTGTGGAATGATTCTACCTCAGGATAAGGTCATTATTGCTGAAGCACTACCTCCTAAGGATGGGCAGGCTGCCAGGATCAACTGGCATTATGCAGATACCCTTGCAAAATGCACTAGTTCATCACCAGCCATAAACTCAGAGGTAATATGAGCATTATTGTGCCCTTAGAGTGTAAGCAGTTAGTTTTACTGTTGAGTTTCTTTCTTTTTATCTTATTCCGTTAAGTAGCAAATCTGTTGTTGTGTCAAATCAAAATTGATGTACTGGTTAACTTTCAGATCTTAAAATACCAAAGAGTAGTAAAACAGCTGGGGGAGCTAGTTTTTCAGCTGTGATGTGACATTTGACAGTTTAGTTGTGCAGGAGACAGTGTTTTTCCACATTTCAATCTGTTAAGACTGCTCTAGCTGCTTGCAGTTGAAACATTAAACAACATTTTCTTATTACTAAATACGTGTTTTCATTGTATGAGGTTTTCTTTCAAGTAACATTCTTAGAAACCTCCTCTAGTGTGGGACCTCTAGGAATACCCCGCTGAGTATTAGCTTGAAATTACAAGGTGTCTGTGTAAATACACTACAGCTAGAGTATTAAACTACTTTTGATAGGATATTCCAGTTAAATTGGTCCATGAAAGCCTTGAGGATCTCCAGATGACCAAATACCATTTTGCAATGAATGGAAAGTCATTTGCAGTGATTTTGGAGCATTTTCAGGACCTGGTACCCAAGGTGAGCATTTTACTTGAGTATGGGCACTTTTGATGGTGAACAGATTTTGCCCTGTGAGCATTAAGAAATCTTCTGTCTTCCAGCTTGTGTTACATGGCACTGTGTTTGCTCGCATGGCGCCTGATCAGAAAACTCAGTTGGTGGAAGCTTTACAAAATGTAGAGTAAGTACTTGCTTAAGCATAGAAAGCGGGAGGGTTGAGAGAGTGTTCGGTGTGATAGGAGAAAAAACTATGTATGCTGCTAGCGGTTTTGCCAAATGAAAAAGGCTAGGCTAATATAACTTCCTTGAGCTGGTAAATCAGCCTGTTAGCTGAGCAGGAATGATAGTACCATCTGCTGGCTAGTTGTGAAAGTTTCAGACTTTTCATGAAGTTATAAATGATGAATAACTAAACTGACTAACATATTTTATAAATCTGGTTGGTTGGCTTAATAAACAAATCCATCGAATGTCTTCTGTGTATTAAAGAAGTATTAATGGGATGACTTCTGTTCACATATGGTCAGTATACTGTCTGTTGCTGTCAGGCCTTGCAGCTATACGAAATACTACAAAAATCTCTTTGCCTAGAGCAAAAATACTTTAGACCACCTTGGAATGATAGAGGGCTGATAACCATATTGGTTGGTTTGACCTGGCTAAGTCATGTTACTTTTCTGTCTACTTCCTTATATGTATAATGGGAAGAGTAATTGCTTTCAGCATTAATGATCACTCATTATTATGCAAGCCCTGAATAAGTCAAATAATACAGACTTATTTAATGAAACAAGCTAAGTGGACTATGATTAGGGAATGGTCCAGAATGTTGACATAATCTTTGGTTTTTATAGTTACTATGTGGGCATGTGTGGAGATGGAGCAAATGACTGTGGCGTAAGTATATTTTTATTTTCCGTACAGAACTGTTCAGTTAAATTTTACAGCTGAAAGCAAGTTTTAAAATGTTCTCTATTTCAATCTTAACTGGCAGGCGCTAAAGAGGGCACATGGTGGTATATCTCTGTCTGAACTGGAGGCTTCTGTGGCATCACCATTCACTTCCAGGACGCCTAGTATTTCCTGCGTGCCAAAGCTGATCAGGTAATGCCACTTACTGTGAACTTAAACTTGTCTGTGTAACTTGTTTTGCATACCCTGTGTCAGTATATGTTTGATACTGCCAGTTTGAATTAAAGAACAAGCCATACGTTTTTAGTAGTTCTGTTTCTTTACTGAAGGTACTCTGAGCAAAGGCTTGCCATAGCATGATTTAGTATTTTGTTATAAACCCTTTTGTCCACGTAAAGTTAACTTTTTAGAGTGAGTGAGCTTCTACACGTTAGTATTTAATTTGATGTCTTAGTGACTGTGTTAGTTTCTGTAAAGGCTGTGTGTAATTGCAAGCAGTAAAATTCTTCAGATAACTGCTCAGCACCATACAAAGTAGAAAACAAATTTTCTAAATAGGGTTTGACCAATTTTTTGTTCTAGAATTGGAAGTTAGGTAATAATTTTGGGTAAAGGTCAGCCAGAGAAGAATCTAGTTAAGTCTGTGTGGAACTAATGAAGTAGTGCGTAATCAGAAACATTTCTGAAGTCAGCAACTCTGTGGCTGACTGCATGTTCATTCAATCCATGTAGTAAACTAGTGCTTCATAGATGCTTTTGCAAGCAGACATTCATTTTAAAACCTCTGTTGGAAAACCACGTAAAGTCCAAAGAACACCGAAGCAAGGTGGTGGCTCAGTTCAGAAGGCATGCTCACAACTTTGATGTACTTGCAAGTGTACTATTCTGACCTCTTTTTCTCCATGTCTTCAGCCTAATGTCCCTCAAAGGATTTGCTGATATGTTTAATTGCAGCTAACGTTTTGCTAAGCAGAGTTTAACTGCTTGCACAGACAGCTTTCTAGTTACGTGATTGCATTTGTTTTGACAGGGAAGGCCGTGCTGCTTTAATAACTTCCTTCTGTGTATTTAAGTTCATGGCATTATACAGCATTATCCAGTACATCAGTGTTACTCTGCTATATTCTGTAAGTATTTAATTGTGCTTAAGCAGTGTCAACATAATTCAGAGATCTGAAAATTGATAGATATTTAATATAAATTCTTGCAGGTCTCTTTGAGTACACAACACCCACATTCTAAAAACTGTCTTTGGACTAAAAGTACTGTTAGTATTTTTTGCCTTTTTTTTATATTAACTGTGTGAAAAACATGGTAGTATCTATTTAAAAAAGGCAATAACTAATGCCTGTGAGTAGAAAGTCTTTACAGTGGGATGTCCAAATAAGCATATAAATGGAACAAAAATACAATTTTCCATTATTTAAAAACTGTCAGAATTTTAAAATAGCCTAACAACTTTATTTAAAGGCAATGCATTCCTTTCACGTAAGGATTGAAAGAAAGCAGCTGCAAGTATTGAGTTAGGAGGGGGGAAAAAAGCAAAGTGGAATATTTCCTGTTAATGTGATTGGATTCACAATATGGCATGTGGTAGAAATCCTGTATTTTAATTTGTATTCTGAGTAAGTTAAACATGCAAAGTATTAAAGGACCTTTTGAGGTGGAAATTTTGACAACTGTATGACTACATAGTAAGGTTATGGTGTTTAGAGAACTGTGGGCCTAAGCTATTATTTCATTGGTTTGTAAGATTCGGTAGTACGTTTGATTACAATTTCAATTACAAATAGCTTATGCATCTTGAAACTGGAATTGTTTCATACCTTGATACTTCAGGAATTGATCTGTGAATTGTAGAGTACTCAAGACTCCTGCAGATAAAGGAAGCCAATTTGATAAGAGACTGTCTTGTTTATAGAGTGAAATTTAAAGAATTAATGCCATAGGAGTGTCACTGTAAGATGTTTCTTGGTGTGAAGAAATTACCAATGTTTCAGTTGTGATTTCTGTCTAGATCCTGAGCAATTTGGGAGATTTCCAGTTTCTCTTCATTGATTTGGCAATCATTTTGGTGGTTGTCTTCACTAGTAAGTATTGTGCGAATTACCCCTGCTGGCTTCTATAAAGCAGTTTTTGCTTGGTCAAATTTTCTTTAATATGGAGTATTTTGGAGTAAGCACTGTGACATACAGTTAAGATATTACGACTACTACAGTATATGCATTAAATAAAACAAACATTGCGTACTGAGTTAGATTCATCTGAAGTTTGTGAAATGTCCTCATACAAAAAGCAGGTCGTGGGTGTGATCTTAGGAAAGTAGTTCTCCACAGTACAGGAAGTCATAAACCTCTACTGACCTGAGGAAACTGGTTTTGGAATCAAAACAGGAGTTGTTCCAACATCATCTTTCTCAAATGTTTTGATTTCTTGCATTTTCAGCTGAACTTCTGTCCACAAAATGTTATGCTCGAAAACTATTATCTAGCAAAATATTTGATTCCACTTATGAACCTAGCACTCAGTTTACTAGCTAACAGTAGAATTCCATTTTCAAGTTTAATAGAAACTGCTGCTTTGAAGCAATGGCAGACCAAAACTGAGGAGATGAGCTGTAAGTCCTTGTGCCAGACAAAAGGGAATTTGGCCAGACACTACTAATTCCTTGAGTCTCATGGCTTCTATTATTGTCCCCTGCTATCCTGTGCTGCTGGGGGTAACCAGCCTATAGAAGGCACTGTGGCATTATTCTAGTGCGGTATAAACTTTTCAAGGTGGTTTCACAACTTGCAGTTCTGGACTAATTTTTAAAGTGATGTCATGAGCAAGCCATTCTAATGCCACAGAATGTGAACAGGGTAATTCTTGAAAACCATAATGATGTAATTTGTAACTCATTTTTCTTTCTCTTTGCAGTGAGTCTGAACCCTGCTTGGAAGGAGCTTGTTGCGCGAAGGCCTCCATCAGGTCTTATCTCAGGTCCACTTCTGTGTTCCGTTTTGTCTCAGATCATCATCTGCCTTGCTTTCCAAACCTTTGGGTTTTTTTGGGTCAAACAGCAGTCCTGGTATGAGCCTTGGACAACGGAATCTGAGTAAGTGTTTCAGTGGCGCCATGTAATGATTGGAAATACAGTAATGATTGGAAAGCCATAGGCAATAATTGCTCTTTTCTTTACTGACCCCCTTTGGGGACTTTCTAAATAAAGCTTCTGTATGGCAGCTTGTTAGTCTGCTGAATTTTTTGACAAGCATACTAGTACAGAGGAGTTACCCAATGGCTGAAATGCAAAACTGGGTCAGAGCCAGACTGCAGGGTCTGAAGACTCCTCAACTTTGGGACAGTTGAGAATGAAATTCAAAATCAATGGTTCAGACCTATTTTATCTCTTCTATATAAGAAGAGATAAGCCCTCAGCATAAGAAAGACATGGACCTGTTGGAGCGGGTCTAGAAGAGGGCCACGAAAACAATCAGGGGGATGGAACACCTCTCCTATGAAGAAAGGCTGAGAGAGTTGGGGTTGTTCAGCCTGGAGAAGAGAAGGCTTTGGGGAGACCTTCTTGCAGCCTATCAGTACTT